AGAGAGAGAGAGAGAGACCTGCAGCATGCAGGATGTCAGTGGCCGGGAGCACAAGGGCAGGCGCTGAAAAAAACAAAAAAAAGGGCAGGCGCTGACTTCCAAAAAAAAAAAAAAAGTAATTTTATTGGAATACAAGACTTTTTTTCGTTTCGAAATCCCAATAGAAATGGTACATGTTGTGTTCGAATGCAAAGTGTACGTTGTCTATTCGAGGTGCTATGCTATTCGATGAAAGTGGGCCCGCGCCTTTTCAGTTTCGAAAAAGGCTTAAGGACGACGGCCTCCTACGGGCAAGTACCGGTCCTACACGTTCCTGGCCCTTGCAAGGCCCCAAAACCTGAATGCCCACCCCTTCGACGACCACCGACGTTGAAATTTGACGTTGAACGTTGAATGTCTCAGGGGGGGAAAGCACATCCCTGACGGGCTGCGAACAAACTCGATTTTCCTACAGCTATCCTAACTGTGAATAGCAGACCGGGGCTACCCCTAGGACAGACATGCCCCATGGGCCTACGCTGATAGACGGTCCTATAGCCTATAGCCGAGTAGGGAGAGGCCCTAGAGGCCGAGACAGAAACGGTACCGGTCGGTCAGTCAATCCGGTCTAGGTCGGTCTAGGCTAGTCGTAGAGTATATAGAGGATGGGGACATCGGCCCTGGGCTTTTGGCGGTTGACACTTCGTGGTGGAAGTTGTTGCGCACACGGTATCAGGTCGTGGTTGCTGATTCCCGTGGTGGTGACGACGAACATAGCCAGGCCTTCAGAGCGCTAACCAGACTGGGGTCAATGCTGTCCGCTCTGAATCTCTGAGAGTCAAAGCGGTCTGGGCTATCAGAGGTCTGAAGCATGGGAGCACGTGGTGCACGGCTGACCCTCCTCAGGAGTAGGGTCCCAGTGGCGATGCAGTCATAGCTGCATCTTCTCAGAGATATCATCGTCTGGACTTTATCTTCATTAGGGACTGTTGGCGTTGAGCTTCTTCTTCATCATCTGGGTGGCGATTGGCTCTGGGAGCCTGTCTCACTTTGGCGCAGGCCACTGAGTTGGATGTCAGGGTGGCGCTGGGTGTTACCTGGGGTTT